ATTAGTTTTTTGGATCAGACTGAAGTATGGTACTCCCTGCTAAACCCCTCGGGCAGTGAACTGCATGACAAGTAATTATACCAAGGAATTTTGTTGCATCAGGTTTATATATTCACCAGATTGCTATTGTAATTAACAACTGGTTCCTTACTCAAAATCTCTGTAGCTTTAACACACATGCAGTACAGAACTTTCAGTCCTAAAGGTGGTCCGCTTCAGACCACAGGGATAAGCCTACCAGCAGGTAGCAATGCAGGGGTAAAGCTTGGACTGCCAGTGCCTACAACATACTTGTCTCCTGGACTTTAAACCTACACTTTCCACAAACACTACATTCATTTTAATTCATTTTTAAAAGCAACCCCCCCGCCAATTTCTCCATGGCTTCCAGATAATGATTCAGGACCAGACTGGTGTGTGTCCTGCATGCCCGTGAAGAGAAGTAAGGCACTCCCTTTTGCCCCTGTGCTGACTACCATCATCACAGGTATCAGCATGGACGAAAACAGCCTTTGCTGAGCCACAATTCTCCCTACACTCCACCTAAGCGGGCATGGGAGTGGTTAGAGCCTGGGCTCCACTCCCACAGTGTGCTGGGGAGGGGGTGTCGTACGCTGTGCCAGGTACCAGAGTGATGCAAGGTACGTCATCCTCTGGACCAGAGAGAAAACCACAAGGCGGCCTGCAACTTCTCAGTCACAATCAGCTTTTTGGTATGTTCCTGGGTCACTTCAACTATGCATTGCCTCCCGTACGTGGGGGTTTGTGACAGAGCGACTCTTTAGCCCATAACATATCTTTATAACTCAGCCTGCACTGCAGTTATTTCTTACCACAGCTTTTTTCTTTTTATAATAATGACGGGGCTTTGTTAGAGTTATTGGGTGGCCCGCACTTTTCCTAAAAGACTAAGCAGTTTCAAGGACTTGTCATCATTTTCCCCTTTACAGCACAACCCTTTACTTCCCTTTATACAGCTCAGTCAACATTTTCTCTTCTTGGTGTCCAATTAGACCAGCTGTGCGCTCATTTTACATTCTTGAATTTTCAACCACCAAATGCATTTCCTAAGCTTCTTTCTGAAAAGTGAAAAATTCTTGCCAAAGCAGACTCTTGAGGGTTAAACGTTCTCTCAAATATTTCTATGAAAGATTTTTCTCAAAATTTCAAATTGTAAGTAGCGCACAGTACAAATTCCAGAAAATAAGTTTGGCAATTTGAGTTGATGAGCCGCTTCGCTCTCCAATTCAAGATGGCCTTTTGTCCCTCTACAGCAAATAAATAAGCAAACAAGCAAGCCCAATGGGACAAAGTCTGCTATTAGATTCATGGCACAACTGCTTCTGAAATTAGCAAAAGTGGGCAAAATTTGGGCCCAAATCAGACTAGCTTCCTAATATTGACACCTATTAGAGTACAGAATAATCATCCAAGGGAAGCAGTGTGGAAGCACCAGCTCTTGAGATGTTTTGAATTAGATTGGACCAAACCTCGGGAAATACTTGGCAGGGAAGAACTCTGCACCATCTAGATGCAGAATTGTTTTTTACTTAGGCTATGTGTATGCTGCAAATGGAGGTGTGCTGCAGCTCACACAAGCATACTCTCATGCTAGTGTTAATTTAGCTAGCCCAGCTAAAAATCGCAGTGAAGACATGGCAGCACAGGCTCTGCAAGTCCAATCAGAACCCTGGGTACATACTCATGTTCCCAGCCCATGCCAGGGTCCATGCAGCCAGGTCTTCACTAATATTGTTAGCCCACCAGGTAAATTGAAGCTAGTGATGCCTATGAGAGCTGCAATCACCCTTCCGACTGAAATGTAGAGCTACTTTTAGATTGTTCTGTGGTTGTACAATGCCTAGCACAACAGGTCCCTGATGCAAGACCGGAGCTACTGCAATACAAAATAAAAGTATAATCTTTATTGTACATGCCCTACTTCTATACACTTCTTTAAAGTATATTTCCCCATAAACTACCCTGAGGTTGTATTTTTCACAACTTCAGTTGTCAACTAGCGTGTCATCTTTTCAATTTGTTAAAGATCTGGGGACAGATCCCAACCCAGAGAACAGATCCTTTTCATTGCTGCAGTAGTCTCTGCTTCCATATTTAAAGGCAGAGGACAAATTTTCACTCCTGGGAGCCTGAAGTTAAACTCTTAAATCCATATTTAGACACCTAAAGAGAAATCAGCTGATTTTCAAAGAGGAAAAACAGCTCTCGTTGACTATGTGGAATTTGTGGGTGCTCAGCACAGTTGAGAATAAGATCACTTGTCTAGGTGATTACATTTCTATTAAGGAGCCTAACTTACAGGCACCCAGGTACGAATATTTTGGGCAGAAACAGTACACTATTTAAATAATAAAAAGACGCTGCAATACAGTCTAAACCTTGGTTGCACAAGTGTACAAGCAATAAAGAGAGGAGGAAGGCATTGCAACACACAAGAACAACAGGTCCCAGGCCATCACAATATGCAAGAACACGGCAGCACCTATGCTATATGAAGGAGAGTATGCACCAAGGTCTAACTGAGGCATGGCTTGTTGGACCATTAAATAGGCTTGTGGTTAGAAGTTGAATAGGTGAGTGAATTTGCTGTAATGAGCATGAGCACTGACTGATAAAGATACCTGAGGGCATGCTGCTCTTGCTCAGAGGAAAGGTAACAGCCAAACAGTCCTCCAAAAAACAACCTGGCCTGAGACAGCAAGATGCCCCAAGCTAAGCATGCTGCTGGTTACTAGTCACTACAAACACTGTGTAGGCATCACCAGTCAAGACAGGATTTGACCCTTATCTGGCAAGATGTGGAGACAATGTTCCAAATGTAACACATAGATTCATAAACAGTTGTGTTTGTGATATGGTATGAGGTGGTCTTCTGCCAATAACATCGAATCATAGGACTGCAAAGAACCTTGAGAGGTCTACTAGTCCAGTCCCCTGCACTCATGGCAGGATTAAATATTATCTAGACCATCCACGACAGGTGTTTGTATAACCTGCCTTAAAAATTTCCAATGATGGAGATTCCACAACCTCCCTAGGCAATTTATTTCAGTGTTTAACCATCCTGACAGTTAGGAAGTTTTTCCGAATGTCCAAGCTAAACCACCCTTGCTGAAATTTAAGTCCATTGTAATTATGCTGTCAATAAGATAAATAATTTTAGATTTTTATTTTCTTTTTGATTCATTTTTATCCATTTGAAATGCCCTAATAAGACAAGCAAACTGGGACTCTTATGGCTGAAAAATGGTGTGCATATCTTTCACCAATCCACTGCAAGTTTCCTCTATCAATCAGTCCATGCCCCTACAGATGCCTGTATCTCAGAATATGTGTCTTCCTTGAGGGTCCACCAAACCATTAAGATTCTGTGTGTCTTTTATAAAAAGGCCAAGGATCTGGCCCTGAAATATGGTCCATGTATCCAAAACCTATTAGAGGTTGCTTCAGCAATGTTAAATGCCTTTTTTTTTATAACAAAACTATACTTTTTGGGTAACCCAAGAACCCTTTCTTTTCCCAAGACTTCATCAGAGATAAAGAATAAGGGCACAGAGCAGACTCATGAAGTTAATTTTCTCCTACTGACTACTACCTTCTTACCACACATTAAATCTTTGAGAGCAAATTGACTATACAAAGGTACTACTGCTGTTTCTTCTGGCCATTAGATTTAACTGTATCATGTCCTATTAGGGAGCCAGAGTAAGATTCCCTAAAGCACCGGAAAAAAAAAACCAAAAAACCCCCCACCAAACAAAAAATCCCCCAAAACAAACCACATGTCCAGTACTGAAGGATTGTAGGTGAGTCACAGAAAGTTTAAATGTTTAATAAACAGAAATGACTAATATATGGGGAGAGAGAAAAACCTTCCTTGTTATGAATATTTATTTTTCTTTTTAGATGCGATAGTCCGCTTGCTAACTGCCGCACGGTGAAAACAACCAACCAAAGGAAAAGGACCTTTTGCCATCTTTTCTGAAAGTATACTACTTCAAAAAAAGTCTTTGAAAGATGGCATAACATTTATAAGGAACGACAGTATGTGTATAAAACAAATTACTTTAAGCACATTTATCTGCTATTAAAAATATTTTCTCAATTATTGCACTTGCTTTCATACGGTGGTATTGTAAACATGTGAATTTCATGTAGCTTCCTTATCACACTCTCGACAATGTATAATGCTATTGTGTCTCTGCTGTCAGTCATTCACAATTCTTCCTTATTACAACCTCTGCTTATTGCGCTTTCTGACTAGTAAATACTGCACTATTATAATTAGCCATATTCTTCATTTTTGCCTTTTAAAAGTGAAGTATGAAATCTATCAGTCCATATTATTGAACAAGCAAAATATGTTTCCTAATCCTTGCTATTGATAAATCCTTAAAATGAGTGAAGTTAAGGAACAGCCTCTTAACATTATGAAATGTTCAAAGATAAAACTATATAACTCTATAATTAGTAATCTTTACCTGTTTCAATTTAATGCATTTGTTACAAAAAAATCTTTCTTTCCACCTGAGCAAAAAATTTCTCATATATTGCATCAAAACTCTAACAGAAAACATCACTTGGAGCGGATATGTACTGCATCCCTAAACATGTTGGTTGATTCTACAAACTGTGTCTACTGAGAGCATCAATTGCATATTCAGGTCTAAATCAGATTAGAAAGTAATTTAGACAATTGCAGTCTCAATAAAAAACTTCTATTGTACCTCTCTGTAACTACTGTATCTCTCTGTAACTACCCTTTGAAATTCTGATTCCAATTCAGACATACTACTTACATATGCCATACAGGCAGTTAAAATACAGTACTTTCACAGACTGCACCGTGGTTTGGAAATTCTTAAGCTGCGATTCCCCATGCTAAACTTTTCCTTTCATAATAAAATTGAACAGTTAGCTGTTATCTTGCAGCTCACCACCCTGTCATAATTACATTGTAGAACACTTTTTCTTCTTACCCTTGGTGTGCATGGAAAGTAGCACGATCAAGGAAATGTGAAGCTGCCAGTTTGATTCTTCCAGCCAACCCATTGCTGCAGGAGAGTAGTGATTCTGATTTGCCTGTGTTCTTCTGTTTCTTTTTCTTTTCTTATTTCAATGATAGTCCTGTGCTTCGCCTCTGTCAGATCCTCAGACGAGTCTGCCAGCAAGCCTGAGAGGAGAATGTGAAAGACAAGCCTGTTACAAACTGGTTCTGTCACCACATAGACCTCAATTGATCACCTCGTGGGGAGGACAACAAAAGGGCAGCAAGGATCCCAAGCTGGAGTGGATTCCTGAGACAGGAGCATGGATTGACTGCCCACACAGGGATTTGTGTAAACTTGGAAGCTGCAGCCGGAGTCTTTAACTCCCTCTTTACTTTACACATACAAAAAACAAAGCTCTGAAAATTCATATGACGTGTGTATTGCATTTTTCAACGAGATGTAAGCAAACCCCTCTTGTCAACTACTTACAAATTATTTGTTTTATAAACTGAGCACTGCCTTTGGCTTTTGTTTTTAAAGTCACACCAGCATTTTCCTATGCACTTCCAATATTAAGGGAGAAATAAGGATTGCTCTGAAGCAATAACAGAAGACAGCTAAGAAAGATAAGAAATATAGAATGTCTGTGTCTGCACACTGTGTCATTCAAAATTAAATTTTATTACCCCCCGTATGAACAGTGATTTATTGGAAAATTGCAATAAACAGATTTTTTAAAGGTCAGTGGATTCCTCATGTAACTGGACTCCTTTAAATTTATATAAATCACATGAAACTACTGTAAGTATATTAATGAATTAGAAATGCATACAGATTTCATGAAATCTCTCAACTGTGTGCCATTGGTCACAGTCGCAACACACACTTTTTGTATTCTGCTAGAGGCTACTCTATGTGTCAGAGTTCTAAATTACTGCTTTCTTCATTTTTATACAGATAAATATTTATTTCAGTTTGTTTGTTTATACACAACTGACGTCCTGGGGACAGATCCTTCACTAATATAAACTGATAAATCTCCAACTGACAGATTACACCCGCTAATGATCTGCTGCCTGCTTTGGTAAATGGAAACAGGAAGCAGATGTACAAACAATATTACAGTATCAAATATTAAAAGTTTGCGATCTTCACTTCTAAATAAAATTCAATAAAAACACTAAGTCCTGAAAAGGGAATGTAACAGGACCTCACTAATCCACACACAACAAAATTAATTGATGGTCTCACCATCTCTGAGCAAAGATTTAATAGCTGAGTACTCTAGTGAGGGCTCATATTGGTCATATATATGTACAAATATACTACAGTATTGTACAGTTATTAGTACATATTGATGTATTATCATTAATAATTAAAATACATTATAATTGTCTAAATTAATGAGCAAAGTACATTTTGTGATGCATTAGTCTTGCTTTTTTATAGTCTTTGTTCACTTAAGACCTGATACTGACCCACTGAAATCAATGGGAGATGGTTTCCAATGATCTCAAAGGGCTAGATCCTGTCACCCATACTTGAATAGTACCTTACTCCACAAGTCATCCCATTGAAGCTCTTCAAGTAAGGGACCATCTTTTGGTTATATCTTTGTACATCACCTGGCAAAATGAAACCTAGAGCCATGACTGGCACCCCTAGGTACTACCACTATACAAATAAAGAATCAACAACAACAATGCAATAAATGCCACTCAGTGTTAGTAAGACTAATCTGGCCCACTGCTGGCTGAAAAGACCCTTGCTGGCCAATTAAAAAAATCAAGTAATAGTACTGTCTGCCTCTCAGACTTCAGCGTGAATTAGTGAGATTCTACTGCATTGTATTTACTTTTTCTTTCCTTATATTTTTTTTATTTTAATTCTTTAGTGACTAACTACATTATACCAAATACACTAACAGAACATTCTGGCCATTCCCATCATTTTCCTTCATATATATATATATATATATATATATATATA